AGAAGTTCGCGGCTCGTTTAGTCCTCAAGCTACCAGCGTACACCTGACATCGTATCCTACACCATTGTGTAAAACTGATGTTCACAGTACATTCCGGAATACCGCTGAAATGATTTCAATATGGCTGGTGACCCTTAAGCTACTAGCGACTCCGCTCCCCACAGGGCAAATACGACATATGAAAGAGTAGTCTATGTGTGAAGCACACCCGCGTAGGAGTTTTTCGACTTATCCAGCATTTATTGTCAAATCTGGCATAACATGATGAAACTCTTGAGCACAGCACAATTCATGAAGAATTGAACGAGGCAGGGATTATTCAGCATTTGAAATTCAGTTTCACGAGGCCAGTTTCAAGCAGAATCACGGAATGATTTAACCTCATTGGTTGCGATATCCAATGCGACGTAGACGCTTTGTACCACAACCAAAGCTCGGGCGTCAGAAGAGGAGTTCAGACGATGGTTGCACATCGAATGCAGCTGTTCCCGATGTTGCATTCTTCGAGTGAAGAATTTAAGTTGCCTAAAAGCATTTTGGTCACATTACAAGGTGTGATATTGTGATCACACCTAAAACCCAGTCCCGATGTCTGCTTTCAATGGTTGCCACACGGACGAGGCAAGGCCATGGCGATTTCTTTGCAACAACTGTACGCTTAATTAATGGTAACACTTACCGTATTACTGGTACCAGTACACCCATTACACTTTCCCTCACATGTCCAGAAGTAATGTGTCTCCCAGTTCCACCCTCTGCCACCCAGCTGCTGCCAGTGGTTGCCACAGAGGCATGGGAGGCAAGGCCATCGCAATCTCTTTGTACTCCTTATAGACTTCCTCATGCCACGAGGCTGGCCAGCTCCGCATGCCCTGTTCTACGGTGGCCGCATATGGGTTACAGTTATTGCTGTTATGGACAGTGTTGCTGTTGCTTTCATGACTGTTGTTATTGTTTCTGTTCTTGTTGTGAGAGCTGTACAGAAGAAGTGAAACTGAGGCTTTCCACGTCAGCAGTGCCTTCATCCTCTTTAGAAGCTGCTCCTTTGCAGGGCTGTGGCTTCTACTTTCTGCACGGGTGTCAAAGGGAGGTGTGCAAGAAAAATGATTATTTTCCAAGAGTATAAGAGAATTCCCATTCGTACTGCTTGATTCAAGTGTGCATATGTTACATCTCACAATACCGAGCCCATCCCTTTCACACTGCACACATCCATCACCCACCTTGCAGCCGATCAATGAGCCTCAACTGCCTCTTCACATGCCCGATGCCGAACTGCACCGCTTTCCACCACTCCCTCCTCTCCCACCACACCTGCAGCACCACTTTCCTGGCCCTCGCTTCCTTCGCTGCTGCTTCTTTTCTCGCTGCACCTTCCCCTCTCCTTCCCCCATCTCTCTCCCCTACTACAGCTGCCACTACTGCTGCCCCTCTCCCAGCCGCACCAGCAAAGGCTGAGAGCCACACAGCCTTTATGATCCCTGCCAGTCCCCACCAAGCAGCCAGTCCCCACCAAGCAGACAGTGCACTGCTGGTGGTGGCACCGAGGGCGTCCAGATGCACTGCCAGCGTGCTCATGAGGAGAGAGGGGCCGCACGTGCCTGTATAGGGTGGGAGGGGAAGGGGTGTGAGTGAACGGGTGTGATTCTAACAGCCCCCATCAGGCAGGCGAGATCAAGGACTCTGGTGCTGCTGCTGGCAGCAAGCGCGTCCACATGCAGTGCTAGAATGGCCATGAGGAGAGAGACGGCCGCACGTGCCTGCACACAGGGGAATGGGACGGGGGCGGGGGTGAGAGAACGAATGTGAGCGTGGCAATGACTCCCTCCATCCCTCCCAGCCAGCCCCCCCCACCAGGCAAGCAGGCAGGGACTCTCTGGTGGTAGCAAGCGCGTTCAGATGCAGTGCTAGAATGGCCATGCGGAGAGACGGGCCACATGTGCCTGCACAGGGGAGTTGGATGGGTGTGGGAGGGGGATGGACTGAGAGGCATGGCATGGACACAGGAGGGCATCAGCCAAAGCACCTCCTCCTTCCACTTCCTCCCTCACTCCATCCCTCCCTCCCTCCTTTAATTTCTGTCACTCCCTCACTACCATTCTCCCACTCTCCTTCTCACTCCTCTTCTTATCACCTGCTAGACCCAGAGGCAGCACGCCTCGCATGGCATGGGAACAGGATGAAAACAACTGCTACAAAGCATCCGTCACTCCCACCCACTCCCACTTCCTCCCTCTCTTTCCCCCTCATCCACTTCTGCTTCTCACCTGCTAGCCCCAGAGACAGCGCGCCTCGCATGGCATGGGCACAGGAGGGCATCAGCCGAAGGACCTTACCCTCCCCCTCTCTCCTTCACTCCCTCCCTCGCTCCCTCCACTCCCTCCCTCACTCTCTCTCTCACTCCCTCCCTCACTCCCTCCCTCACTCCCTTCACCTGCTTCTCACCTTGTAGACCCAGAGACAGCACGCCTCGCATGGCATGGGCACAGGAGGGCATCAGCCGAAGGACCTCCAAATGACATTGCAGTAGAGTGAGGGAGTGAGTGAGAGAGTGAGTGAGGGAGTGAGAGGAGGATGGGGGTAGGGGGGATTCCTGAAGTTGGACGCACTGTAGCAGCAAGGCGCGGATCCTGAGAGCAGGGAGGGAAAGAGAGACAGTAAGAGGTAAGGGAAGACGCACATGGGAGGGAAAAAAGCAAATGAGCAGGGGAAGGGAGTGGGTGGAATGCACATGTGGAAGTTCGAGAGTCCTGAAGCTGCACGCACTCAAGCAGCAAGGCGCGGATCCGGAGAGCAGGGAGGAAGGGGGAAGATGGATAAGCGCACGGGAAGGAAAGCAGCAAGGCAGAGGGAAGGGAAAGAGGCATATGGGAAGAAAATTACATGACAGGGGGAGAGGACGGAGGAAGAAGAGTGAGAAATACTATACGACCCTTTTTTATTTTCATTTTTAATGTGGAAGGTAAAATAATACAAGTGGTCATTTAGGCATTTGAAATACTGAAAAAGGTTACTGAAGTTACCAACTTAGCCATAAGTTCTGCACTAAACCATGCCCTGAGTGCAGGACTAAGCCCTGAGTAGTACCTGAATGGATGGATGGAGCGTGCAACAGCAGGCAGGCACGAGCGGTGCAGAATGTCCAGAGCCACTCTCACTCCTCTGGTGCCCTGGGCCGCAAGAATCTGTGTCAGAAAGAAAGGGACGGATACGAGAATCAGCAGCAAGGGAGTGGGGCGAGAGACAGTGAGATATCAGTGACAGGGCAGGCAGGCACGAGCGGTGAAGAATGTCAAGGGCCACTCCCACTCCTCTGGGGCCCTGGGCCACGAGAATCTGCAGAGAGGGAGTGAGAGAAGAGGGCGAGGAGACAGGAGGGGAGGGGAAAGATAAGTGAGATCAGGAGGATGCAGGAGAGGAGAAGGATGTCAAGAGCCGCTCTCACTCCTCTGTAACCCTGAGGTACACGAATCTGCAAGGCAGGAAATGGGGTTGGAAGGAAAAACGGAGAAGAAGGGATAAGTGCAAGGCAGGAAATGGGGTACAGTTGGGGCATATCTGCTCTAGAGGCATGCAGGTGAACGAGGGGCACTAGAGCCGGGATGCAGAGGGGATCGGCTTGCAGTGTGTGCAGGAGGAAGGAGGCAGACTCTTGGAAGAGCTCGAGGGAGCAACGGGAGAGAGGAGGCAGGCGGAATGGGGTGGGGTGGAGGAGGAGAGGGATGGGGTTCAGGGAGAAGCTTACCTGAACTAGAGGCACGAGGGATGGGATGCAAAGGGGATCGGCTTGCAGTGTGCGGATGCTGCTTCCCCGGAGACTCGACTCAAAACACGTCCTCCGAGAGCTTGAGGGAGGCGGAGTGCGGCGTGGTAGGGTAGGTGGGGAGAATGGGACATAGGAGGAGCTTACCTGCACTAGAGGCACTAAGGCTGGGATGCAGAGGGGGTCGGCTTGCAGTGTGTGCAGGAGGAAGGATGCTACCTTGCGAGAGAGCAAGGGAGCGGCGAGAGAGAGGAGGCAGGCGGAATGGGGTGGCGGGGGAGGTAGGAAGAAGCTCACCTGCACTAGTGGCACTAAGGCCGGGATGCAGAGGGGGTCGGCTTGCAGTGTGCGCAGGAGGAAAGAAGCCGCTTCCCGGGATAGCTCGAGGGAGCGACGGGAGAGAGGAGGCAGGCGGAATGGGGTGGAGGGGGAGGGAGGAGGTGGGAGGATGAGGGGGCAGATGAGCGGGTCAAGATCTGCTTTGTGGGGGTGGGGGGAAGTGGAGGGAAGGAGGGATGGAGAGGATAAGAGAAAAAGACGAGACGGTGTGAGAACGGAAAAAAATGAGGGAGAAAGAGAAGTGCAGGGGGATGGGGGAAAAGGGGAAAGGAAGGGGGGTGAGAGGTATCGAGGACGAGCAGATAGAAAACGGTGGTGGATGCAGAAAGATAGAAACGGTGACAGAGAGACGAATCATAACTGTGTGAAGGGAGAAAATAGAGGGTGCAACAAAGCGAGGGAGTGGGTGGAAGGAGAGGGACGGACAGCAAGAGGGGAGGGACGGAAACAAGTGGGCCACACAAAACGGCAAGAGACATGACTCGAGAAAAAGTCCCGACACGCACCATATTTCCATGGCACAACGTATCTTGGAGCCTTTCCTCCCCCTCCTGCTTCTCTCCTTCCCCCTCCTCCTCCCATCCAGCCACTCTCCCCACTCCCCTCCATTGCCTCCCTCACTCCACCCATTCTTCCGCCCTCCCCTCCTCCCTTCTTCCACACTCTCCAAGCAAACGTCTCCTCCACCACCCTCCTTCCTCCTCTCCCCCCTCCTCCCCCATCCTCCTCCTCTTCTCCCTCCCCTTCCACCTCCTCCTCCCCCTCTTCCTCCTCCTCCTCCCCATCCTCCTCCCCATCCCCCCTGCCTCGCTCTCTCCCCCCTGCCATCACCTTCACCCCCTTCCCAAACGCCTTACACAGGCTCGCAGCCAGAACCCCACTGCTTGCCTCCTCTCTGCTTGCTTCCCACGCTTCCTCTAAAGTACAGTCTAGCACGAAGGGAGGGTTGAGGGGCAGAGGCCTTGGAGGAGGATGGGGGGGAAGTTGGGGGGAAAAGGGTTCTCCACTAGAAAGATTCCAGAAACCAGCAGTGTATGCCTCTCCTTCCGATGCCATTTCAGTGATATTCGAGCCTGTAACGGCGTAACAACCGCCGTCGTTATCGTCGTAACCACCAAAACGCATCAACTCCTGCTCGATCCACCCATCCCCCTCCTCCTCCTCTTCTTCTTCTTCGTCCTCCTCCCTTCCTCCTATTCCCCTAATGTACCCTCGCCTCTTGCCCCTTCCCCCTCCAAAACTACTCCCCTTTGACCCACCCTCCTGTTGCTCCCTCCTCCTCTTCCTCCTCTCCCATTGGTCCAGCAGCGCCAGCTCAGGAACCTCCACGTCAGCGCCACGATCACCATCACCATCACAATCCCCATCACCCATATCCACATCCATATCCCCATGCATGCCCCCATCCGTCGCTCCATCCATCCGCCCATGATTGTCCCTCTCCCCATCATCCATTCCATCCATGTCTGAATTGAAGCCGTGGTGGGTATGCGAGGTGGAGGGCAGCTGCAGGAGGTCCTTCTGGGCGGCAGAGAGCCAGTGGGAGTACTGGATGAGCGCGCAGAAGAGGAGAGGAGAGGGGTCGGAGCGATAGGGGGGGAGGTTGACCACCCTGCACGGACAGGGGGAGTGGCAGGGAAGCAAGAACGGGAGAGCCAGTGGGAGTGCAGGTCATGATTCATGAGATCAAGTCCCTTAACTTAAGTACATCGGAAATGGACAAGAGATGGATGGGTGGCAAATCGGGGGCAATTCCAACCCCAATGAGACCGGGTGAAATCTCCAATTGGTGGGTTGGAGATTTCGGTTGATCACATTTGGGTGAGGTTGGTTGGGATGTTGGTAATACCCAACCCGCACAAACTGCAAACTACACTAAAAATGTTAAAGTTGAGGGAAGGGTTACCTCTAGGTTCACCACACCACACTGCACAGACAGAGGGAGTGGGGGACGGGGGAGGGGAGCACTATTAAAGGGAAGGACTGACCAGACCAGGGCCTCCGGTCCCACCCAGCATAGCATCCATATTCCCGTAACACAGCGAGGCCCAGAGGTTGTAAGACACAGCGAGTACTATTCCCCTAGCACCAGACTGCTGCTCCCTCAGAATTATGTCTGAAGATCGAGAGGAAGGGACGGACTGACCAGACCAGGGCCTCCGGTCCCACCAGCATAGCATCCATATTCCCCTAACCAAATCCCGAATCATCTCCTAACGCAGGGTTTTCGAGGATTTGTATAAGCACCTTGGAAATGGAAGGGAGCTCACGTTTGCAGCGTTTGGAAGGCAGCGTCGAACTCGTTGGTCTCCATTTGGCACTTGGCTAGGTCTAGTAGCATCTGCCCCTTGCGCCTCTGATAGGGGGGGAACAAGGAGTATGGCACGTGGTAAGGAGAGAGGTTGAGGGAGGTTGAGAGAGGTTGATTGGAACGCAGCATCAAACTCGCTGGTCTCCATCTGGCACTTGGCGAGGTCCAGCAGCATCTGCTCCTTGCGCCTCTGATAAGAAAGGGAGGGGGGGGTTGTGGAGTGGTTGAGAGTGGTTTGAGGAAAAGGCAGCATCGAACTCGCTGGTCTCCATCTGGCACTTGGCTAGATCCAGCAGCATGTGCTCCTTGCGCATCTGATACGGGGAACATGGATGGGTTATGGAGTGGTTGAGTGAGGTTGAGGGAGGTTCGAAGGGAAGGCAGCATCGAACTCGCTGGTGCCCATGTGGCACTTGGCTGGATCTAGCAGCATCTGCCCCTTGCGCCTCTGAGGTGTGGGAGAGGGAAAGGCATGACACGTGGTAGCGAGCGAGGTTGAGCGAGGTTGGGGGAGGTTGACGGAGGTTGAGGGAGGTTGAGGGAGGTTGAGGGAGCACTGAAACAAACACATTGGTCTCCATGTGGCACTCTACAGCATCTGCCCGGAGCAGAAAGGGGTTGTGGAGTGGTGGAGTGAGGTTGAGCGAGGTTGGAGGGAAAGGGAGTTCGTCTTCTTTGTGTGACGAATGGTAGGAACGGAGGTTGAGAGCGGTTGAGGGTAAGGCAGCACCGACACAAACTCGTTGGTCTCCTTGTGACACTTGGCTAGGTCCAGCAGCACCTGCCGCTTGCGCGTTTGAGATGTGCGAGAACAGGGAGGGGTTGTGGAGTGGTTGAGTAAGGTGGAGGGAGGTTCGAGGGGAGGCCAGCATGAGCACGAACTCGTTAGTCTCCATCTGACACTTGGCTAGGTCCAGCAGCACCTGCCCTTGCCCGTTTGATCGGGGAAAACGGTACGGCATGTGGTAGGGAGGTAAGGAAGGTTGAGGGAAGTTAAGGGAAGTCGAGGGAAGTTGAGGGAAGTTGAGGGAAGTCGAGGGAAGTTGAGGGAAGTCGAGGGAAGTTGAGGGAAGTTGAGGGAAGTTGAGGGAAGTCGAGGGAAGTTGAGGGAAGTCGAGGGAAGTGGAGGGAAGTTGAGGGAAGTCGAGGGAAGTGGAGGGAAGTTGAGGGAAGTCGAGGGAAGTTGAGGGAAGTTGAGGGAAGTCGAGGGAAGTTGAGGGAAGTCGAGGGAAGTTGAGGGAAGTTGAGGGAAGTCGAGGGAAGTCGAGGGAAGTCGAGGGGAAGTTGAGGGAAGTTGAGGGAAGTCGAGGGAAGTGGAGGGAAGTTGAGGGAAGTCGAGGGAAGTCGAGGGAAGTGGAGGAAAGTTGAGGGAAGTTGAGGGAAGTTGAGGAAAGTTGAGGGAAGTTGAGGGAAGTCGAGGGAAGTTGAGGGAAGTTGAGGGAAGTCGAGGGAAGTTGAGGGAAGTTGAGGGAAGTCGAGGGAAGTTGAGGGAAGTTGAGGGAAGTCGAGGGAAGTCGAGGGAAGTCGAGGGAAGTCGAGGGAAGTTGAGGGAAGTCGAGGGAAGTCGAGGGAAGTCGAGGGAAGTTGAGGGAAGTCGAGGGAAGTCGAGGGAAGTCGAGGGAAGTTGAGGGAAGTTGAGGGAAGTTGAGGGAAGTTGAGGGAAGTGGAGGGAAGTTGAGGGAAGTTGAGGGAAGTGGAGGGAAGTTGAGGGAAGTTGAGGGAAGTTGAGGGAAGTTGAGGGAAGTTGAGGGAAGTCGAGGGAAGTTGAGGGAAGTTGAGGGAAGTGGAGGGAAGTGGAGGGAAGTTGAGGGAAGTTGAGGGAAGTTGAGGGAAGTTGAGGGAAGTCGAGGGAAGTCGAGGGAAGTTGAGGGAAGTCGAGGGAAGTCGAGGGAAGTCGAGGGAAGTTGAGGAAAGTTGAGGGAAGTCGAGGGAAGTCGAGGGAAGTTGAGGGAAGTTGAGGGAAGTTGAGGGAAGTCGAGGGAAGTTGAGGGAAGTTGAGGGAAGTTGAGGGAAGTCGAGGGAAGTCGAGGGAAGTCGAGGGAAGTTGAGGGAAGTCGAGGGAAGTCGAGGGAAGTGGAGGGAAGTTGAGGGAAGTCGAGGGAAGTTGAGGGAAGTCGAGGGAAGTTGAGGGAAGTTGAGGGAAGTCGAGGGAAGTTGAGGGAAGTCGAGGGAAGTTGAGGGAAGTTGAGGGAAGTCGAGGGAAGTGGAGGGAAGTTGAGGGAAGTGGAGGGAAGTTGAGGGAAGTTGAGGGAAGTTGAGGGAAGTTGAGGGAAGTCGAGGGAAGTTGAGGGAAGTCAAGGGAAGTTGAGGGAAGTTGAGGGAAGTTGAGGGAAGTCGAGGGAAGTCAAGGGAAGTTGAGGGAAGTTGAGGGAAGTTGAGGGAAGTCGAGGGAAGTTGAGGGAAGTTGAGGGAAGTTGAGGGAAGTTGAGGGAAGTTGAGGGAAGTCGAGGGAAGTCGAGGGAAGTCGAGGGAAGTTGAGGGAAGTCGAGGGAAGTTGAGGGAAGTTGAGGGAAGTTGAGGGAAGTTGAGGGAAGTTGAGGGAAGTTGAGGGAAGTTGAGGGAAGTTGAGGGTAGTTGAGGGAAGTTGAGGGAAGTTGAGGGAAGTTGAGGGTAGTTGAGGGAAGTTGAGGGAAGTCGAGGGAAGTCGAGGGAAGTTGAGGGAAGTTGAGGGAGGTGCAAGGAGGTTGAGGAAGGTTGACAGCAAGGTAGCATGAAAGCGAATTCGTTTGTCTCCTTCATCTGGCACTTGCGCCTCTGAGGGAGGTTGAGAGGGCAAGGGGGAGCGTTGGAAATGGCATGTGATAGGGAGGTTGACGAAGGTGAATTGAGAGGGAGGTTGAGAGAGTGGTACCTACCTGGACCTTATATCAGAACCAAGCTTTCCCCCTTCAAACCACAACCCAGCTCCTCATAATTGCACGCATCACCTCTCTTACACCACCCACTAGGGATGAGCAAATGGCGAACTCGAACACGTTTGGGTTCGAGTTCGCCTCGAACATCATCTTTTCCCGAACCGAACACAGTTCGGTTCGGCGAACACTTTGAGCAAAAAATGGTGTTCGCCGTTCGCCTGTGAAGGCGTGTTCGGGCGAACCTCGAACAGTGTTCGTGTTCGTCACGGGCAAATTGCAGCGGCGGCCCGAACACGAACGTGTTCGGGCGAACATCGAACACTGTTCGGCGAACATTTTAAGCCAAAAAAAAATACCTGTTCGGTTCGCCTCGAACACGTTCGAGGCGAACCGAACAGGTGTTCGCCACCTTGCTCATCCCTACCACCCACACACACCACCTACTTCCCTCCTTCTTCTTCACCTCCTTCTTGAGAGCTTTCGCTTGCATGAACACCACCCATCTTCTCCTCTCAAAGCAATATTCATCCTATAACTTCCACCCACGCACACCGCACCAACCCTCCCCCTGTCACCACTCACGTCATACTCTTGCTTGAGAGCTATCGCTTGCATGAACACAAACCATCTATCCCTTCACAGAAGAAACCACAAATCTCCACCACTCACACTCTCTCCACTGCCCCTGCCCCGTGCACTCACGTCATCCTCTTGCTTGAGAGCTATCGCCCGCCTGCATGAACACCACCAGTCGCCTCCTCTCACTGCAGGACCCGCGCACACCACGCCTACTCCCCCTTCACTCTGACACCATCCCACACACCACAGCCCTGCTCAGTGCTTCTTTCACTCACGTCATCCTCTTGCTTCAGAGCTATCGCCCGCCCGCATGAACACCACCAGTCGCCTCCTCTCCGAGCCGTGATCATCATAATAATACACTACCCATACGCACCAGCAGCCATATTCCCCCCATCACCACTCACATCGTCCTCTTGCTTGAGAGCTATCGCTCGCATGAACACCACCAGTCGCCTCCTCTCTGCCCTCCGCCGCTCACTGCTGCTGCTGCTGCTGCCACCACCACCACCAGCAGCAGCAGCACCACCACCAACGCTCCCACTGCCTCTGCTGCTGAAGCCCTTGCGCCACAGCTCTCGCAGCAGAACGAGCGCTTGCTGGGGGAGGGAATCAAAGAAAAGAGGAAGGCAGACAGGCAAAAGTATCAGGACTGCCCTCCCACATGCAGCACTGTCCCTGCAGCTGCTGAAGCCCTTGCGCCAGAACTATCGCAGCAGCACCAGTGCTGCCAGCACGCCTGCTATGTGCATGCATACTTCATACCAGAGTTTACTTTTGAGGCGCCTCAAAAGTCGTCTATGTGCATGCATACTTCATACCAGAGTTTACTTTTGAGGCGCCTCAAAAGTCGTCTATGTGCATGCATACTTCATACCAGTGTTTCCAGCTCAGGAGGCTTTTCGGAAGCGAAGGGTTTTTCAGATCTGCGTTTTTTTCACTTGATTTTTTCACTGTTGTTCCTTTGCTTAAGCGTCCAGTCAACCACTGCAGCCCTTCGAACATGATTCAAGGTGCATACTTCAAACCAGAGTTTCCAGCTCAGGATGGCTCCTCCTTACCTGGGATTCCAGCCATATCTGTTCATGTACAGCGCTCCGAGTCACCTCAGCATCCTTACCCGCATCCATCAGAGCCGCCAGCACGCCTGCCGCCTGCTGCACCTCCTGCCTTTCCCTCACCTGGTGCTAGTGACCTGAACTCAAGCCTCTGGTTTGGGGCTTGGGACTCTGGTTTTCCCTTACCTGGGATTCCATCCAGCCAAATGGGTTCGTCAACAGCCCTCCTGGTCACCTCAGCATCCTTATCCGCATCCATCAACGCGGCCAGCACCCCTGCTGCCTGCTCCACGCCCTACCGTCCTGTGATCAATGCAAGGGGTTTCTCCTTACCTGAGACTCGAGCCATATTGGTTCATCCACAGCCCGTCTTGTGACTTCAGCGTCCTTATCCGCATCCATCAGAGCCGCCAGCACGCCTGCTGCCTGCTCCACCTCCCCTCGGAACATCATCCTCCTTAAAAGCCGCCTCAGCATCTGCCGGTGCACCGCTGGCAGACGAATGCAGCCGCCCCGGAAGCCCAGCGTGCGGGCGGCACTCCGGCCGCGCCGCCCGTCTGCGGTGAGGGCGGTGAGATCGTTGCCGTAATCCAAATGCCGCCACTCTTGATTGGATGTGAACCGGAAGGGCGGGAGAGTCGTGTTGGGTGCAGTTGATGCAGCTGCTGCTGCTGCTGCTGCTGCTGCATCAGCAGCAGCAGCAGGAGCGGAGCGAAGACGAGCAGAACCAGCACCAGAACCACCAGCAGCAGCACCAGAAGCATTACCAGAAGCTGTGGCGACTCCTCCTCTTTTTGGGGTTGCATTCTTCCTGCGATTCTGTTGCCCCTCTTTCTCTCCCTCCCCTTCCAGCTGCTGCAACTGCTGCCCCTTCTGCTGCTCCTCCTGCTGTTTCAAGGGACTGGGAGAAGGAGCGACAGTATCACCAACAGCAACAGCAGCAGCACCAGCAGAAGAGGGACGGTCAGAGCGACGGGCGATCTTAGCCCCACCGCTCTTGCGTCTCCCCTCCGCTAGCCCATCACCATCACCACCATCAACACCTGCAGCATCGCCTGCAACTCCTGAAGCAGAAGCAGCCTTTTGGATGCTGAAGACTGGAACCGTCCGTCTCGTCCATGCGCCGTTCCCCCTCTTTTCTGCACCCTCTCTCCCCACGCCTGCTGCCCCGCAACAGTGCGCAGGGCGAGGAGGGTGCGAGAGTTCTGCATGTTGGAAACGGGGGGCTGGACTTTCTTCTTTCTCGGATCTGCACACACAAAGAGGACATGGGGAAGGAAAAAAGAAACGAATCGGTGGGGACAGTGAATCTTTACCCCTGAGCCTGATAACAGGTGAGTTTTTAGTCGACTCTGAAATCACCTCCCAAACCCCACAGTAGCAAGCACTGGCTTGTGAACCTTGAACCCGAACCTGCAACCAGGGCCTCTAAACCCTGAACCTTGTAATCTGAGCCTGATCCCAGAACCTTGAACTTCGAAATTTGAACCTAATCCCAGAAACCCGGAACCCTGAACCTTCAAACAGGGGAATTTGCCCAGCAATTCGCTCGCCGTGCCACACCTTTCTGTGACGGAGGTGAATCCTTCTGCTGTTCCTCCACTCGCCCTCCTTCCACTCCCTCCTCCTCCTCCTCCTCCTCCTCCTCCTCCTCCTCCTCCTCCTCCTCCTCCTCCTCCTCCTCCTCCTCCTCCTCCTCCTCCTCCTCCTCCTCCTCTTCCCCTTCCTTCTCCTCCCCCTTCTCCTCCCCCTTCTCCTCCTCCTCCTTCTCCTCATCATCTTCCTCCTCTTCATTATCCTCCTCCCCTTCCTCCTCCTCCTCTTCCTTCTCCTCCTCCTCTCCCTCCTCCTCCTCTCCCTCATCCCCGTCTCCCTCCTCCTCCTCTCCCTCCTCCCTCTCTCCCTCCTCCCCCTCTCCCTCCTCCTCCTCCTCCTCCTCTCCCTCCTTCTCCTCTCCCTCTTCCTCACCTTCCTCCTCCTCGTTCACTTCATCCTTCTCAATTATTTCCTCAGTTTTCTCCTCTACAATCTTCTTCTCCTCCACATTCTTCTCCTCATTTTCTTCCTCGGTCTCCTCGTCACTTTCCTCCTCCTCGTCCTCCCTCTCCACCTCCTCGCTCTCCTCCGCATTCTCCTCATCAATTTCCTCCTCACGCTCCTTCTCATTTTCCTCCTCACTTTCCTCCTCACTCTCCTCCTCACTCCCCTCCTCACTCTCCTCCTCACTCCCCTCCTCACTCTCCTCCTCACTCCCCCCCTCCCCAGCTCTCCAATCATCCTCCTCAGGTTCATCCTTCACAACCCGCCCGGCCGCCATGCCGCCTGATGCCGCGGTTGCCTCACCTTAACCTTACACACACGGTTTGCTCACTCAACAATCAGGGTTAGGAACTAGCGAGTTTTGAGGCGTCTCAAAACATGCCGTCTGATGCCGCGCTTGCCCCACCTTAACCGTGCACACACGGTTTGCTCACTCAACAATAAGGGTTAGGGAACGGCCTTGATCACGTGCCCAAAGTGCTCGGGGTGTAGGCCAGGGTTCAGGGTCAGCTACAAACCACCATGACTGCTATCTCAGTATAGTCTGTGCGGTTCAAACGGGTTTTTGCGGGGTTTGAATGAGTCTCGCAGGGTTCAGGGTCGGCTTGAGAGTGCGTGGGATGGAATAGCCTCGCACACTCGCTACTACGTCCGCTACTCTCGTCACGCTCGCGACTCTCCCTAAGTTCGCGACTACGTTCGCGACTTTCGCTACGTTCGCGGCTTTCATGCACTCCCCATTTGCCGCTCCTAGATTACGCCTATTCAAGGTCCGCTCTAACACTCGGCAGAATACGGCCCATGCCCGCTAGAAGTCGCATTGTGAAAGCTTTGCGGTAACCTGAGAAATTTAGCAGCTATCTATAGCCGTTCTGACAAGTGATGGGTATGTATGGCGGGGCATGGGGAACTGGGTTTTGGGTGTGATCGATCACCATACACGTGGTGTGAACCCAACTGCTTCTACTGGAAAGTAAAACCTTCATTCGAAGAATGCAATATCGGAAACCGTTAATGTCAGGTACACCTAGTATTCTTATTTCAGGGAAGATACACCTAGTCCGCGTTATTTTAACCATCGCTATCTTAACCACGCGGGGGTACTACTCCATGGTCAATATTGAATACAAGGGTAGTTTAAAATTTTATAAGGGTATAGTTAAGCGTACCCTTCGCGAGATCACGGAAGTTGCAACTCTGTTAATGCCAATGCGCCCCCTATCTCGGAGCACTAAGTGTGGGTTTTGTCAAATGGAAAACTTCTAGGGTGTATTCTAATAGCCTTGAATTCTCTGGGTGCCCATTCCATTGAACTAAAATGCACTCAGGATGTTTGAAACAAAAAAGTTCGGGTGGTTAAAATACCGCGGACTTGGTGTATCAGTCACATCCCTCCGGGAACCCGCTTTTGCCCCTGCGGGTTTTCCCTGGAGGGATTTCGCTTTTCCCGCAGTCGCCTAGCGGTGCACGCGAGGGGCGGGAGCCAACCCCCCCCCCCCCCCCCCCCCCCCCCCCCCGCCCCGCCCGAAAACGGGCAACCCCAGCAGGCGCCAGCTGCCGATGACGCCAGCGATCCGTGCCCTCGGGCTGGCAGTGGTCCCCCCCAACCGAACCAAGCCCCACTCTCAGTTCGTTGACGGGTTCCGTCCGGTAACCCACGGAACCCTCGCCGACGGAACCCGTCCGCGAAAGTTTCCGTGAGCTAACGGAAGCGACGCCCATCTGCGTCGCGCTCCACCGCTTTCGCCCTCGACGGGCCCGTTTCGTTTGGCGATCGACCCTTGTGACGTGTCGAACACCCCCTACCGCTCCACGGAAGGGGCCTTTCAGCTGCATGCAAGGCGCCCCACCTCATGCAACCAACCACCAAATTTCACGTCGAGGCCAATAGGGCTCCGCCGCCCTCTACGAAAAGCTCCTCCTCCCGCCGTCGCAGAACGCGCCCTGCCTCGTCGCCCTTACACCCGAGAATGTCTCGATGGGGGGGATGGCAAACAGCTAATACCCTGAGTGCGTTCTCATTTTGTTGCTGTCTTTGAGTTTTTCTTCCCTATTTCCTAGTTTTGTTGCTGCGCCATGGCTATGGGCCCCGCCTCCGTACCCGTCATGAACGAGCCGTTGGTTCGACGCGGCCTCATGCTAATCGCAAGTGGGATCGAGGTGGAGGTGTTCGAAGACCAGTTGAATGCGGTTAGCGAGGCGCCAAAAGCAGAGCTCGATGAGAGGATGATGAACGCGGGCGTTGTGTACGTTTCCTGTCGATCGTTTTGTGTTTGCCATGTTTCGGTTTACCTGTCGCTGAGTGTGAGAAGAATAGAACAAGAATGAATGAACTATGAATGAAGTGAGTACATATAGGATACCCTAATTGAGTTGTACCCCCTATGGGATACCCCACTATAGCCTACACAACAGCATAAGCTATATAACGTTCTGACACACCCCCATAGGCAAAGTGGGGGAGAACAAGGGGTCACAAGACCAGTCAAGCAAAACAGAGCAAGCTCAGGGTGGATCACAAAGTCACCACACAGTCCGAGCACAACGACAAGGCCACAAGGCCAATTCACATGCAGGAGTACACACATATATATATAGAGCTAGACAAGCAAGAGCAGGTATATATATGTGACAGTACAAGCAAGGTCAAGAGGAGAGCAAGAGAGGCAAGACAGGTACAAGACCCAGCTGAGTGCAGAAGCGCTGATGGTCACAAGGCGCGAGTGCCTTGGTGAACACGTCAGCAGTGTTGGCCTCAGAGGCCACGTACGCAAGCCGCAACTGTCCACGCTGCTGTAGCTCACGAGCAAGGAAGTAGCGGAGAGCAATGTGCTTCGTTCTGTTTTCCAGGCGCTGCTCTCGACACAAGGCCAGCATGGCCTTGCTGTCTACGTACAGCACTAGAGGAGAACGAGGCGGCTCTCCAAGGTCAGTCAGCAGGTAGGTGAGCCAGCGAAGCTCCTGTGCAGCCATGGCCCCGGCATAGATCTCAGCCTCACAACTGGAGCTGAGGACAGAAGACGAGCGAGTAGCCCGCCACGAGACAGAGCCGGAACCAAGACTGAAGGTGTAACCCTGTGACGACCGCTGCGTAGCCTGGTCGTCAGCCCAAGAAGCGTCCGCGTGCCCCGTAAGGACCACTGGACTCCGCCCTCCAAGCACTAGCCCCATGCCCGACGTACTGCACACGTAGCGCAACACCCTCTTCGCTGCAGCCATGTGCTCTGGTCCGTGTCTCCCAGGAGCAACATAGCGTGCAAGAATGCTAAGAGGGTATGCAAGGTCAGGTCGTGTGCAGGTCATCAGGTACATGAGGCAGCCAACAAGCTCTGGGTACGGGCCACTCGACTCTACGGACTCATCCGAAGGCAGAGCTGAGAGCGAGTGGCGAGTAGACAGAGGAGTGGCCTGAGGCGAGGAGTACGTGAAGCCGAAGCGCTGAAGGACCTGCTGCACCATGTGTGACTGAGTCAAGGTAATGGTGCGGCGTGCTCTGTCCCGAGTGATCTGCAAGCCAAGATAGCTGCGCAGTTCACCCAGGTCTGTGCACGTGTGTCTCTTCAGCAGCTCGGACTTCACGTAGGCAAGTCCAGCAGTGTCCGCTGTGGCAAAGACCAAGTCGTCGACGTACACGAGGATGTAGAACGGCGGCAGAGAAGTGTCAGTGCGCAGAAACAGCGAAGGGTCAGCAGTAGAGGGAGCAAACCCAAGAGCCGCAAGCGTAGTCCTCAGTGTGTCGTGCCACTCGCGCGGTGCCTGGCGGAGACCGTAGACTGGCCGTCGGAGGCTCCACTGGGTGCCAGGAGGGAAAGTCCGAGTGAAGTCAGGTGGACGGCGCAGCCAGATCTCCTCCTGCAGGCTACCCTGCAAGAAAGCTGTGCTGAAGTCAAGAGAGTGAAGCTCGTAGTCGCGCTGAGCGGCTATGTGCAGCACTATGTGCAGCAGCACCCGAAGAGTGGTCATCTTCGGGGTGGGAGAGAAGGTCTGAAAGTAGTCAACTCCCTGCCGCTGACTGAAGCCACGAGCGACGTACCGCGCCTTGAAGACAGGTGGAGAGCCCGGCGGCCGCTTCACCCTGAAGATCCACATGCCACTGACGATGTTCGCCCCAAGAGGGGGAACCGCGTCAACGTAGGTGCCTGTGGACTTCCAGGAAGCCATCTCTGCATCCATAGCTGCCTGCCACTGAGAGGAGTAGGGACCCTCTACGGCCTCCGCGTAAGAGCACGGAGTCGGGATGTCTAGTGCATCCGGGTCTCCCTCAGGGGCAAGCAGTACAGACGCGAGATGAGGTGAAGCAGTAGCCAGACACTGGAACTCCTCCTGCCTGTCCTCAAGGACGTCCGTGCCAAGAGCACATTCACCCCCGACGGACGGAGGACACACAGACGCAGACTCAGCAACAAGACTGGCAGCGTAGTCTAGACGACAGCGAGCAGCAAAGTCAACGAGCTCAGCAACAAGCGCAGACGCAGCAGCGGACTCAAACGAGGGGTCAGTGACGACAGTAGCAAGAAGACGCGTGACAGTAGGACTGGCAGCGCGAAGAGAGTCCGACTCCGGGTCGGTAAGCGCAGGAAGAGAGGACGTAGGAGGAGAAGGCAAAGGGGCACGCAGAGGAGCAGTGGACGGACGCAGAGACATCCGGTGCGTGCCAGGGACAGGAGGAGGACGCTGACGCGAACCGCGACCACTAGCGCGAGCAGCACGAACAGGCGACGCGGGACGAGACGCAGGCTCACGACGCTCAACAAGACCTCCAGTAGGACCAGTGTAAGGAGAGGGAGCAGGAAGTGGGGAGGCGGGCTCTAACTGTGACTGTGACTGGACAGGCGGTGGACACTCTACAGGAGGAGAAAGACCAAGAACCTGCTGCAGGAGCGGAACGAAGTACGGCCGAGGCCGCGCGGCGACTCCAGACACAGCAGGGACAGCACCAGCACCCTTAGCACCTCCGGCAGCACCAGCGCCAACAGCACCTCCAGCGGCAGGACCTCCAGCAGCACTAGCAGCAGGACCACCGCCAGGACAGACAGCAGCAGTCTCAGCACCAGCACCCTCTGCAGCGCCAGCTCCAGTAGGACTCGCAGGCCCAGCAGCTCTGGGACCGGCGGCACCAGCACCCTCAGCAGCCGAAGAAACTCCAGCTCCAGCAGCACGCCTCCAGCGGCGAGCAAACCACTCGCGCAGCTCCTGTGGAGAGAGTGGCTCCCGCCGAGACGTAGCACCCAGAGAACCTCCAGGCCCAGCACCGCCAGACACCACAAGGGGAGGTCCAGCGGCCGCAGGCTCCGCACCTCCAGGCCCATCAGCCCCAGACGCAGCACCTCCAGGCTCAGCAGCTCCTGACGTAGCACCCCCAGACTCAGCAGCTCCAGACGCAGCACCCCCAGGCTCAGCAGCTCCCGACGTAGTACCCCCAGACTCAGCAGCCCTAGGCTCAGCACCCCCAGTCGCAGTACCCCTAGGCTCAGCACCCCCAGGCGCAGCACCCCCAGTCTCAGCACCCCCAGGCGCAGCACCCACGTGCACGGCACCCCAAGAGTCAGCACCCCCAGGCTCAGCACCCGCAGCAGTACCAGAGTCACCAGCAACCTCGACCGGCTCGACTGCGTCAACCTGGGACACACCAGAAGGGGCAGGACCCTGAGGGGGAAGGGGGTCTACCGGGGGGGCACCTGGCACAAGGAAGTGTGGCGGTGGGGGGAGGGAAGGAGTGCGGTAGGGGAAGAGGCGGTAGAAGGGGACGGACTCGTCGAACGTGACGTCCTGGGAGGACAGAACACGACGAGAGGAGGGGTGGTAGAACTGCCACCCTGGGGCGTCAGGGGGGAAGCCTAGGAAGACACAGGGAGCAGCACGAGGGGACAGCTTGTCCGCAGACAAGTCGCGGACAAACGCCCGAGATCCCCAGACACGAAACGCAGACGCATCGCCGACCTTCCCCGTCCACAGCAGAGCTGGGGAGGTCTCTGGCCGGGAGACCCTGGGGTGAAGGTTGAGCTGATGCGCCGCGTACCGAACCGCAAACGGCCACAGAAAATGGGGGGCAGCCGCATGCATCATGGACGTACGAGCGACGTCCATGACCATGCCAATGCGGCGCTCAGCAATCCCGTTTTGCTGTGGAGAGTCCGGAAGCGTAAAGGTCTGGCGGATCCCCCGTGCACGACAGTAGGCCTGCAGAAGGCCAGAGGAGAACTCCCCACCTCGGTCAGAGTGCAGACGCAGAACAGGAAAGTCCGAGCCGAAGCTCCTCCTGAGCTGGAGACGAGCTGCGCGGATCCAGTCGATCAGCACCTCAGTGACATCACCCTTGCTGCGCAAGGGGAAGACTGTGGTGTAACGCGAGTAGTCGTCAACCACCAGCAGGAAGTAGCGCTCGTGACCCTGCCCACGGACGCGGGCCGGGCCCCACACGTCCATGTGAAGTGTCTGCAGAGGAGCCTCTGTCGGGGGAAACTGGGAGGAGTGAGGAGCAGCCCGGAGGCGCTTCTCGACACTGGGTACACAGGAAGGTCCTGGTCCCGAAGGAAGGGGAGGGAGAGACCGGGGGAGACCAGAGACAAGGACACGGGAAGCCATGCCCCGAAGACGAGGCAAGGAGGGGTGGCCAAGACGGTGGTGCGACAGGAGAGTCTCGTGAGACAGGAGGCGACACGAACAGGGGGCAGACTCAGGACCAGACCGGGACGCAGCAGCAAACACCTGACCCGACGCAGCTACCTGGCCAGACGCAGGGATAGGAGGAGACTCAGTGGTCAGGGTGTAGAGGCTCGACCCTGGCCGACGCGAGAACGTGGCCAGGTGCCGACCTGTGCGTGCGTCCGTGCAGTGGGTCACCCGCAGACTCGCAGGAGAAAACTGGTGCACCCCTGCATCCTGCAGGTCAGCTCCACTCACCAAGTTCGTCGAGAACGAGGGGAGGTACAGACCAGACAGGGTGCCCGAGGGGGCAGCCGGACACGGGAGGACAGTGGAGAAGTGACAGGACCCCCAGAGGGGTCAGCCAGGGAGACTGCAACCGGCCGACCAAGCGGCGTGAGTGTGGTGCGGTCTCGAAAGAAGGAGCGAGAAGCCCCTGAGTCAAGTGTGAAAGTGAGGGAGGCCGAAGCCGACGCAGTACCTGGGAGCGCAGCCTCACCAGTACCTGAGAGCGCAGACGCACTGGCACCTAGAGCAGTAGCCTCACAAGCACCTAGCACAGCAGTACCAATGCCCAGGTCGGGCGGGAAACACCGGTAACAGTCACCCTCCTCACTAATAGTCACAGCATACATGGCAGCAAGGATAGCATCAAAGTCAAGATCAAAGATAGCTACACCAGCCCTAGACAGCTCTCCCCAGCGGGGAATCTCACTAGCCTCGGGGAACTGCTGACGCCAAGCCTCCGTCAGGCGGCCAAAGCAGCGCTGGGTGGGGTGGGCACCCCCACACTGCTCACCCGCGCGGTCGCCGGAACGAAGGACGTAGGCGCACGGACTAGTACCCCCACCCCTCTGACGCTGCGTGTACCACTCACGGAGCTGCTGGGGCGGGGGGATGTCCCGCGGACGCTGCTGCTGCTGGCGCTGACCACTACCAGAGTCGCTCCGCTGCGGGGCACCACCCCGACCAGCTCCACCCCCTCCGCCACCGCCGCCTCCACCTCCGCCACCACCGCCGCCTCCACTCCCACCGCTGCCGCCGCCACCGCGGCCTCCTCCGCCGCTGCCACCACCACCTCCGCCTCCGCCACTACTCCCACCGCCACCCCCACTCCCTCTGCCGCCTCCACCGCCACCTCCACCGCCCCCTCCAGCTCCACCCGCGCCCTTGCCCCCCTTGCCCTTGCCAGGGCGGCGTCTCTCGCTAGGGGCAGACGCCGCGCCGACCGACTCAAGACCAAGCAGGTCGGCAGCAGCAGCAGAGGCAACAGAGGGCAGTAGGGGGGAAGGAGAACACCCCTCAAAGATGGGGGTGCGAGGGTCACCACGAGAGGCTCCAACAGCGACGATACTCTTCTCCGCCGCTAGGAGGGCCTTCTCGAGGAGGTCGACAGTGAGAGTGGTGGGACAGACTGAGAGGAAGTGGTCCCTGACTACGCGAAGGGAGTCAGGGAGGCGTGTGACTATGTAGTAGAGAGTGATGTACATGGGGGTGGTGTTCTTGGCGCAGAACTCAGCAGGAAGGGCGGCGCGGTAGCGAGTGTCACTAGTGCGGAGGTGCGTAATGAGGTCAGCGACAGTGGGAAAGGCAGTGAGATCAGGAAAGAGGTACGGTAGCATGAGACGGCTCAGTGCAGCAGTGGCAGGGGAAGAGTAGCGCGCAACTATAGCGTCGTACAAGGTCTGAGCACTCTTGTACTGACTAAAGTGCGCGCGCTCAGTGATGGGCAAGTGGCGACGCACAGCAAGACGTGCAGCAGCATCGCGGGTGGCCCACTGAGAGCGAACAGTGGGGTCAGCATCAGCAGCAGGGGCAGGAGAGGCGCCAGAGGTGAGGTCAAAGAGGTCAAGGCCGTCCGCCCTATCGCACTGTAAGAACAGCTGCAGGTCGTCGACCCAGACCTCAAAGTCAATGGCTCGACCCTCAGCGTCAAAAGCGAGGACACTAGGGGTAGCCATGACGACGACAGTGGAGCAGTGCAAGCAGTAGGGGAAGGGCACGCACCGAGAGCGGTACGGTGCTCACCGGGCAGGGCAGGTCGGGCGGCTCGGCAGGAGGGCGGCTTGGCGACTCGGCGGCTCGGCTGCTGGGCGGCTCAGCTCCCGGGCGGCTCGGCGGCAGGGCGGCTCGGGTGCCGGGCGGCTCAGGTGCAGGGCGGCTCGGGGGCGGGGCGGCTCGGCTGCCGGGCGGCTCGGGTGCAGGGCGGCTCGGGGGCGGGGCGGCTCGGTTGCACTGCGGCTCGGTGGTCCGGCGGTGCGGCGGCTGCTGCTGGGCGACTCGGCTGCTCCGGTACCGGGCGGCGTGGCAGTCGGCTGCGTGGGCGGCGGGGCCGCGTAGGTGAGGGCGGCGAGGCCGCGTAGGTGAAGGCGGCGAGGCCGCTCAGGTGAAGGCGGCGGGGCCGCGTTGGTGAGGGCGGCGGGGCCGCGTAGGAGAGGGCGGCGACGCCGCACAGCTCAGGGCGGCGAGGCCGCGATAGGAGGGCGGCGGGGCCGCAAGAGCAGAGCGACGGGGCCGCGATGTAAGGGCGGCGGGGCCGCGACCGCAGGGCGACGGGGCCGCGATCAAAGGGCGGCGGGGTCGCGATGTAAGGGCGGCGGGGCCGCGACGTAAGGGTGGCGGGGCCGCGAGAGCAGGGGCGGCGGGGCCGCGATGTAAGGGCGGCGGGGCCGCAACGTAAGGGTGGCGGGGCCGCGACAGCAGGGCGACGGGGCCGCGAGGTAAGGGCGGCGGGGCCGCGAGAGCAGGGGCGGCGGGGCCGCGATCAAAGGGCGGCGGGGCCGCGAGAGCAGGGGCGGCGGGGCCGCGATGTAAGGGCGGCGGGGCCGCGAGGTAAGGGCAACGGGGCCGCGATCAAGGGGCGGCGGGGCCGCGATCGTAGGGTCGGCCGCTAGGGCGGCTCGGTAAGAGAATGGCCCGAGGCGCGACTCGGGATGAGTGTGCTTCGGGCAGGAAAAAAAATCGAGTGGTGGGCCCTAGGCGCAGTTCCCACAGGGGAACCTGCTCGATACCATGAGAAGAATAGAACAAGAATGAATGAACTATGAATGAAGTGAGTACATATAGGAAACCCTAATTGGGTTGTACCCCCTATGGGATACCCCACTATAGCCTACACAACAGCATAAGCTATATAACGTTCTGACAGAGTGTGCATTAGCTTTCCGTGCAGCCTGTTTTCAAGGGAGCTGTTGTCCGCCGAGCAGCTGGCCAAGATGTCGATCGAGACTTCGACGCGTGCGCGTGAAGAGATGGCGCGTCCCACGCCGATCGCTTTTGCGAACCACCACCTCCACGGCTTGCTCGGCAAGCAAGTGATTTTCGTTCTGCTGCGGACCACGTGAGTTTGACACTATCCCGTCGCCTTGCGTCCTCCATGTTTAGTACTAAACCCGTGCTCACGTGCATTCGCTCTGCATGCAGCCTGACTGTGACTGTGAGAGTACGACGGCTTATGCTAGCTATGCAAGCTTGCCTTTACTTTATTATGCTATTTCTAGCATAGGATAATTTTTGCATGCATGAATTTCTTGATTTCCTAGGCTAGGTGCTTTCTTATATTTTATTATAGTTATAGCACCGAGCTAGGTTGCGTGCACCGAATTCTGGCTTTTTGGTTGCCACCGAATTACCTTCTACCGAATTCGGGAAGGATCTGTTCGGGACGCTTCGCGACCCGCGGAACCTTCGTGTAACACCTGGTTACTGGGCCTTGTGTCGAGCCTATATATAGCCTCGTGTTGTACCCAGGTGATCATTCAATTCATTCAACTCACATTCTCTTTTCTGAGCTCGATCCTAGATCCTCACACTTGCTAATCAGAGCCTGTTTAGACGCGAAGTTTTTCGACCGCTAAAACCTAGCTTTTAAAACCGCGGGGGCGACGACGGAAAGCGCCGATTTCGGGTTCGTAAACCAGTTCCGCGCTATTTTCTAACGTCCCCCTCGAACCGGTTTTCGAACACTCCTCAGGTCCAGTGGCGAAAAAGCTGGAATTTCGACCGTCGGATCGATTCGAATCTCAACGGCCTCGAGAATTTCGCCCAAAAACGTTGGAATTTGGAGCGTCGGATCAACTTTCTTCTCAACGGCCGAGATCAGACGCGAATTTTGATTAAGGGAGAACTACGCGACCTACAGAATCAGCCCTCGTCATTTCTGCAGTCAACTCGACTCACAGTAAGATGACCAGCGCCTGAAATTCATATATTTTCGTCGCAAATCTTCCTATAAATCGCCAAATGGAGGAAAACGGTGATGATTCCATACGGAAAATTACGGAGTTACACACCAGCCTGGACCAGACGCGAGCGGCACTCCAGCGAATAGAGGAGCTTCTCTATAGTGGGTTAGCCTATAGGGGGTACAGTGGGTTAGCCTATAGGGGGTACACAATTCTAAGGTTAGGTACTTGTACTGATTTCACTGTTAGTTCAATCATTCCTGTTCATTCATTTCAACATGGTATAGAGCAGGTCCTTCGCTAGGACCGTTTTTTTAGGGCCCACCACTACCTACCTACCTACCTACCTACCTACCTACCTACCTACTTGCGCCCTAGGGCGCCTCGTTTTTCACGGCCCCCTAAGGCCCCGCGACCCGCGACCCGCCCCTTAGCGACTCGCGCGCCGCCCCTTAAGGCCCCGTCGGCCCACGTGCTCGCCCCTTACGGCCCCGCGCTCGCCCCTTAGCGACCCTGTCGGCCCCACGATCGCCCCTAACGGCCCCGTCGGCCCCGCGCTCACCTCCCTAGAGGCCCCCGTCGGCCCCGCGCTCGCCCTCAGCGGCCCCTTACGGCCCCGCGCTCGCCCCTAGAGGCCCCGAACGGCCCCGCGCTCGCCCTTAGCGGCCCCTTACGGCCCCGCGCTCGCCCCTAGAGGCCCCGAATGGCCCCGCGCTCGCCCTTAGCGGCCCCTTACGGCCCCGCGCTCGCCCCTAGAGGCCCCGATCGGCCCCGCGCTCGCCCTTAGCGGCCCCTTAAGGCCCCGCACTCGCCCCTAGAGGCCCCGAACGCCCCCCCCCGAACAAGCCGCCCGACCCGAGCAGCCCGAACCGAGCCGCCCTGCCCGAACCGAGCCGCCCGAACCGAGCCGCCCTGCCCAAACCGAGCCGCCCCAACCGAGCCGCCCGAACCGAGCCGCCCAGCCCAAACCGAGCCGCCCCGCCCTTCCCGAGCCGCGCCACCCTACCTGAACCGAGCCACGCCGCCCGTACTGGACCGAGCCGCCCTACCTGAGTCGCACTGCCTACTGTTTTTGGGGTGCCCCTACTGCTATTACTCCTACTACTGCTATGGGTAGCCCTCCTGTGCTAGCTTTCGATGCTGAGGGCCGCCCAGTGAAGTTCGAAACCTGGCTATTCGCAACTCCCTGCCGATAGATGAGCGCGAGCACTTTGGGCAGCACAAGACTGCACAGGCACTGTACACTGCTGTCGTTGCCCGCTACTCCTCTCCGGCCTCTGCCGCACTAGGCCGTCTCTCTCTTCCCTACCTGTTCCCCGACTTAGCCTCTTTCCACACAGTCGCTGACCTCATTACGCACCTCCGCACTAGTGAGGCTCGCTTCTGTGTCGCCATGCCTGATGAGTTCCTTGCCAAGAACCCACCCCCACTCTGGCTCACTCTCTACCACCTAGTCACCCGCCTCCCTGACACTCTGCGCTCAGTCAGGGACCGCTTCCTAGCTCGCTGCCCCACTGAGCTCACCATTGCCCTCCTCGAGAAGGAACTCCTTGCAGCTGAGGCTAGCATAGTCGCTGTAGGTGCCTCTCGTGGCGATCCCCGTACCCCGTTCTTTGAGGGGTGTTCTCCTTCCCCCCTTCTTCCCTCTGTCGCCTCTGCTGCTGCTGTCGACCTCCTTGGTGCTGAGAAGGTCGGGACTGCGTCTGCTTCGAGCGGGCGCCGCAGCGGCAAGGGCAAAGGGGGCAAGGGCGGTGGCGGTGACAGCGGGGGAGGCGGTGGTGGGGGGCGGTGGCGGCGGTGGGGGTGGTGGCGCGACTGGAGGGGCTAGTGGCAGCGGTGGGGGTGGTGGCGGCAGCGGCGGGGGAGGTGGCAGGGGCGGAGGCGGTGGTGGGGGTGGCGGTGGACGCGGCGGCGGCAGGGGTTGGGGTGGTTGAGGAGGTGGCGGCGGCGGTGGTGGTCGTGGAGGCACTAGCGGTGGCCAGAGCCAGCAGCACACTCCGTCGCCCCAGGAGGTCCGTGAGTGGTACTCTCAGCACGGGGGGGGGGGGGGGGGGGGGGGTGGGGGGGGGGGTGGCTTTAGCTGCACGTACGTCATTCGCACTGTTGACCGCACTGGTCAGCCGTGTGGGGGACCGCACGCCACACAGCGCTGCTTCGCTCGTCTCAACGACGCTTGGCGTGTTCAGTTCCCTCAGGCCACTGAGCTGCCCTGCTGGGTTGATCTCCTGAAGAAGGGGATTGATATTTATGCTCTAGACTTTGATGCTATTCTCACTGCTATGTATGTGATGTCTACTAGTGGAGAGGGTGCTGAGTACTTGTGTGTGCCGCCCGACCCGAGCATTAGGACTAGTGCGTCTGCCGCTCCAGGTACTCGCGTGTCTGCTACCCCAGGTGCTGGTGAGGCAGCTGCTCTAGGTGCTTGTGCGTCTGCCCCCCCTGGTACTGAGTCGACGGCAGCACTGCACACCTTCACACTGGACTCAGGTGCTTCTCGCTGCTTCTTTCGTGACCGCACTACCCTTGAGCCGCTTGCTCGGCCAGTTGCTGTCTCCCTCGCTGATCCCTCTGGGGGTCCGGTCATTGCGACCTCCTCCACTATCCTTCCCTGTCCTGCGGTCCCGTCGGGCACACTGTCAGGTCTCCACCTCCCCTCGTTCTCTACGAACTTGGTGGCAGGTAGTGCACTCCAAGACGGGGGTGTTCAGCAGTTCACCCCTGCCTACGAGCGCGTGACACACTGCACGTGTGCTCGTACGGGCCGCCACTTGGCTACC